CCCCAAGCAGCTTGCAAGATAACTAGGCTGGACTGCATGCAGGCTGGAGAGAGAAGGGGTACGTATGGGGAGCAGAGGTGCAGAACAAGCACAGGCTCCCCACAAAGCCCCAGCACCCCAAAGCAAGGCCGCATTTCCCAAGAGCTGAGCTCCTGCCATGGACAAATCCTCTGGGCAACATTTTCCACTGGGCTGTGTTGAAAACCTGGCCCTAAGCAGCATACCCAAGGTCAGAGGCAGCAGCAAGACCTGAATGCAGATAGGATTTGGACCAAAAATATAGATAGGATATAGGATAAAGAATTTTTTTTTGCAAAAATCTAGTTGGTCTAATAAAAGATATCACCTCTACCACAAGTTCTGATAGGATTCGGAAGTATCTGAAGCCCAGGCGGGGGTGGAGGATACTTGCAGCAGGAAAGGGACGCATTTTCTGAGGTCGAGGGCAATTACTGGAAAAGACCCTGATGTTACGGACCCAGAGAGCACGCTTTCCAGTGCTGCATGGAAAGGCAACTTTGCTGCCAGTGTCCTCTTTATTTTTCACCCCACCAATGCTCTCCCAGGCGGGCATGCGTAGCAGGTGAGCAGTCATCTGTGCTGCTGCAGGAGGAAGGGAGCGCAGGGGGGAAACAGGGGGTGCCATGTGAGTGGTGCTCACTAGGAAGCAGGAGGCCATCTCCTCCCTTGCCCTGCACTCTTTGCCCCATGCTATATAAAACACTGATTTAATGCCCTTGTTACCTTTCAGGGATTGCTCACGAGAGGACCATAGCCCACCATTACCACCAGGTGATGGGACCGCATCATCGACAGTAGCAGAGCCTTGGGCTTTAAGCACAGAAAAGGTCCAGAGCTCAGCTCCGGTGATGTTCACTTTGCAGACTGTGTATTAGATAGGAAGGGGTCCAATGTGGCTCTTCCCTGATCTGTCTTTCTAATAGGGCTAAGGTGCAAACAGGAACGTTCCTGCCTTAACTGGTCCATGACTTAACTTCATTTACACTCCCAGGACTGCTTCTAACATGCCGGCAACCCCCAAACTGCACTTACAGCTTTGGCAGCTTGTTTGGCAGCTGTTCAAACCATACAGAGCCAGGGCTGTGAGCTTCACACATCTCTGCCCTGGGGCTCCAGGAGCTATCACAGCTGGAGGCAATTACAGGCTGATCCTTTCATACAGGATGCAATCACCAGACACCCCTAGCCAAGAGGTTAGGATAGGCTCCCTGATCTGCATCAGTCCCTGGCTGCCCTTCTCCCTGCAAAAGTGGGGTTAAATTTAAAGAGACGCAGCTCCTAGTTGGAAGTTTCATACCCATTTGCAACAGGCCTGAATCCCGACCGTTCTTTATAGACACATGCATTCAACTCTACCCTGCCCGCATCCAGTCCACACAGCCTGTCACTGAACCCGGTGCAGCCGCTGGGCAATAGGAAGGCTCAGTCAGGCTCTGTGCACAGGAACCGCAGACCCCAGTTCTGTGCTAGACAGGGACAGGTCAGCCCTTCAAGCCTAGCTTCACTCAGTGGCATCATCTGTTTTTAGGGACCCTGAGGACTGCAGCAGGAGGTGCTCTGTGCAAAATGCAGGCCTCTGTTTGCAGGGTTTTGAAAGTCCATGCATTTCCAGGCACACCCATTTTGGGGCAGATCTGCAAGCACTGCTACCAGAGAACACCTCATCCAGCTCACCCTGGCTCAGGGAGGGCTGGCTGTCTGCAGCTAATACCACTTTTATGTTATCCCATTGACAGCTGTTTTAGCTGTCGTTAAGATGAAGTCCCAGCAAGAGATTTTGGAGCTGTTAAGATATGAGAAGTCTGCATTTTTAATTAGGAGAGAGGCTGCTGACTTGCTGCAAATGCTCCTGGTTGAAGCGCAGCTGGCATTCGTGTACACATCAGTGTCAATGTGCCTTAAAATCCAAAGGCAAGGACTGGCTGAAGTGTGGCTGCCGGGGTCTCCGTCTTCTTCACTGGTTCTCAACCTTTTTAAAACTCAAGGCACCCCTTTAAAAGTGTCAGTGCTTAGTTTCCACTCCCTTTTTTCCCCACAGAAAAAAATCCCCCCAGCAGTTTTCCTATTGCAAACAACTCAGACAGACCACAGCTGTGGGTTTCTATGTCTGCGGATTGCTAATCTATGGATTTCTGCAGTACCCCAGGGCTGATAATCACTGGTCTAACCCCTTGGGGAAGGAGTGAGCCACAGCGATGCTTGTCTGCTGGGAAAGCAGCCATCCTCCTCCCCGACCCCTGGAAGGACTCACTGCCATGCCCACATCACAGCTCTATTTTTCTACAAAGCTAAACCCAAATCTCAAGCCAGAAGAGTGCAGCCTGCAAATCCCTCAGTGCCTTCCCTTTGGCCCCCATGCCCCGTGTTTCCCAGTCTGCTGCAAGAGCAGGTCTGACTCCTGCTGCTCTCTCAGCCCTCAGGCAAGACCTGCCCAGTTCCCAGCTGGGGCTGATAATTATGCTGAATTTACTAGCCCCCAGCCACCTGGTCCCTAAAGGGCCATCTAGTTTCTGAACTCCTTTCATCATCAAGAAAAAGGAAAGCCATTGGCTAGACTCAAGCATACCCCCTAAGCGATTACATGGGGGATAAGGCAGCAGTTTGAGTTTACCCTGCCCGGGACTAGGCTGGGTCTCTTCAGTGGGAGGACAGGACATGCACCAAAACGTGGGGTCATCCCATGACAGCGCTCACATCTGCGGTGCCGCAGGCAAAGGGAGATGGGAAAGAAGTAAGGCAATTCTGGAGAGCTTCCCAGGGCAGGAAAGACGGAGGAAACATGCTTGAGTCAAACTCCCCGCCGGGGCCAGCAGCTGAAGCTGGGTGTATTTGGACCATTTCATTTATTTATTTACTTGCAAAGTTCAGGGCAGTGGCCTCTGTAAGAGATGCCTGCAATGGAGAGGACACATCGAAAAAGAAAAAAATATATATAATCACCAGGTGCTAGAGAGGAAGGCAAGAGAAGCTCGGGTGACTCAAAATACTGGGGGGGAACATGGAGCTGGCTGGGGCGCACACGGAGATAGACCTCAAATGAGAAGATGGATGAGACTGGCATCTCCACGGACCGTGTCTAGACGGGCACCGTTCAGGACCCCAGGCTCCTGCAGAGCCTGGTAGTCACGGGGCAGGTCTGGCTGCTACTTGCCTTGCTCAGCTGTATTCACAGAGGGGGAATTTCATCCCAGCCCCAGGGAAAGCCTCCAACTAGACTCAGAGCAACACCACTGCTATAGGAGAAGCTGAGATGTAGGGTCCCATGCACCTGTAAACTACCTTTCACTTGGAGCTGCAGTGGCTTTGACATGTCTCTTCAGCCCCATCAACTGCTCTTGTCTGGAGCCTACAACTCTTTCATCCAAGGGAGCAACTGCTGTATTTCCACTAGCACTTGGGCTCACCTGCTGGCACATAAAGCATGGGCTGGGAGGGGCGGTGGGAATTTATGATTTCCCAAGCACCAGGCTGTGGGTTAGACAAACATCAGAGCCCGGGAGCTCATCGCTGCATGGGCAGAGATCTCCGTGCTCCATTGTGGAGATTCAGGAGTGAAAAATCACCCGACGGGGGGCTCCTGTGTACGGAGACCAGATCATGGGGGAAAGACGAGAAACGGGCACTTTTGCTCTCTGGATTCACCAGGCTTTATGAGCAAAGGTCCCCTCCTCACTGCTGCTGCTTGTGTCTTGGGAGATGGCGAATTCTTCTGTGTCTCTCTTGTTTTTGGGAAGGAAAAACAGCAGGGAATGAGCAGGGGGGTATTTGCATTTTTACGATACAGGGATTTCCTGTTCTTCCCTATGGCTGCTCTAGGGTCTCGCACCAGCACTTATGCAATCGATAACCTTACCGATCTCGGTGCTTCCTGCATTCAAACCTCAGCCAAGAGACTCTCCACATGAAGGCCAATGTAAGAGTGCGAATGCAGTGCTCGGGGCTGTTTTTTGGAACAGACACAATGGCTGATCTACTTTAAAAGTAAAACCCCAAATCCCTCCGGAAGCACAGTTTCTGATGAATCCCATGCATGTCGAGTCTCTCGAGTTCTTCTGCCTTGCTTTAAAAAACAGTCTTGCAAGAAAGCAGAACATTGATTAATAAATCACAGAGCAGGAGAGACTTCAACAACTGGAAAAAGCAATATTGACTCACAGAGGCACCGAATGCTGAGAAGGAAGAGAAATAGTTCCCGTCTGTCTGTCTAACCTGCCTGCTGTGTTCATCCTCTGCGTTGCCATTGATAAAAATGTCAGGAACCCTTTAGAAGAGCCCCACCCCGCTATCTCTTCCTTTCTGGTCTCTAATCGTGGCTGTGTCTAATGCTTTCATAATGGGGTATGTCTGCTTGGAGCTGTAGAGAGTTAGGAGCATCCTGCAAGTACCTCCAGTCGAGCTGCTCTCCGGACCCCTACGCAAAGCCCCACTGCATACAGCTCTAGGCAGGATGACAGAATATCTATACCAATATCTTTACCTATACCTAGGCCTATACCTATACTTGTCCTTCTTGGGCCCAGGCTGCCTGGTGCTCTGGAGGAGCGTTTTGGGTGGGAAAAAGCTCGGGGGTGCCACTCAAGGCTGACCCTGCTTCAATGCTTCTCCACTTGGAGAGCCCAAAGTCTGAAATAGGAAGCAAGCGACAGCCTCCCCAAGCCACCCACGCAAACTGTGCTCCCAAGGGTGGGAGAGCTGCATCCTATGGGGCTGGAGACATAGGGAGAGTTTGGGGGGTTGAGGGGTGGGGAGCTCTCTTGCTTGGTGCCTACAGCTCCGTGCTCTCCTGCTCTGCAGGACTGGGGCTCTCTCATGCTGAAGGAAAGAAAGGAAAGGAGTACTTAACAGCCTGGGGCCAGTCCCTCCCTGCCTGGGGAGCAGTGGCTCTACAAAAGCAGCACGTTATGCATAGTAAAATGAACTGCCAGCCCAGTGTGAATGGAGGCAGCCTGGAGGCTGGGGGGCAGCCAGGGCTTTGCAGTTTACAGGCCGGACGTGGCTCTGAGAAATGGGTTGCCAGGGCTTAGGGTCTTGCGTCTGTGATGCAGCCAGAGACAGACAAAAATGCTCCCCAGGACAGCCAGGCCAGTCAGCGAGCCCAGCAGGATGGGTACAATCATGATGGAGGCAGGGCCTGGAAAAGCAAAGGAGCCCAGCTGTGAGCAGCGGAGTCGAAGCTGCAGCCCCGCTCTCCCCACTGCCCTGCCGGGCTGTCCCCGCAACACTGCCCATGCTGTGAGTGGGTATGCAAAGCCACTGAGCCCAGCGGCAGCTCATGTTGGACAAATGGAGGAGCCACTCAAAGGGGCAGCGTTGGGGCAGGAAACCCAGCTGGTGAAATCCAGGCTGAATCTCCCTGCCACTGGCACCTGCCCGGCATCGAATTCATACAGAAGATGGCTGTCACCTGCAGAGACCAGCCTTGACCTGACCTGTGCCAGACAGGATTTGCAAGGACTTCAGAGCCTGGGGAGACTCACAAGTCAAAAGGTGCTGGGGACTGATTTGCTTCCTGGCCTGGCAATCGGTGCAAGCCTCTCCAGCAGCCTGAGCCCTGCAGTGACTACAGGAAGCACTGACTGTGTCTGCAAACACCCCACCGCGGATTCCTCACCTGCCCGATCCCACCCGGGCTGGAACCACAAAGCACATGGAGAAGCAGACATGACTCGGAGCAGAGTCAGGAGCGTGGGGTAGACACCCACCTTCCACTGGCTCCGAGGGAAAGGCGCTCTTCACCTTCCTCACAGGGCCAACTGACACCAGGTTGTGCAGGCTGCCGGAGCTGCTCCTGCTGCCGGGCTGGGAAGCTGCCTCTGTGCCTTCAAGGCAGTCCTAGGAAAGACACAAAGAGGGGATCTAGGTTTCTGCTGCACGAGCCAAGCTTTGGTGGCCAGAGCACTACTGGAGATGACTCCCTTCCACCCAACCCAGAGTCACTCCCTACAGCAGTCTCCAGGGTTTGGCCAGCCCCGGTTTCAATCTGTGCTCCCCTGTCCCTTCCCCCGGCACGACTTGTCATTATCCTAATGCCTTTTTGAGCCTGTACAGGCTGCAGTCAATTATTTCTCTGCCTTTCCTCCAGGTTTCACTCCCAGGCTGCTCATCCCTGTTTGCTAGATGACGAGCAAAGACCAAAACGAAGAACCAAGCCGATCTCTGAAGCTTCCCAAACTCTGGTAGCTGAGGTGCGGAGACCCAGACATCTCTGCAGCGAGAACCCGCGGCAATGTCCCCTGGCACACTAGCTCTGCCATGCAGAAGGGGGGCAGCGCCGGTCCCTGGGGTGGTGCCAGGAGATTACCGCATGCTCGTTTGCTGACACGACTCTTATATCAGTAAGCAGCATGGGGCGGTGGGGTGGAAATAAGGTGCTGGGAGCTGGGGAAGCTGAACTGAGAGTGGAGATTCAGCTGGGGCCTGAGGGCATGATAAGGCAGGGACCCTGTGAGCACAACTCTTCCCTGGGCCATTTGCTCTTATCGAGGGACAGGGGGAGAGCACTGAACTGTATCACACCCTTGCAGCCCGTCACTCCCCTCCCTGGTGCTGCGGGGAGTCGCGTACCTGCTCACAGCCGGGGCTGCTGCTCAGGCAGACGTTAAGCTCGCAGTGTAGATACGCCACAGAGTGGTTCAGCATCTGGAACAGCTGGATGGTGAAGCTGGCAGCCCTGGACTGGCCGCCGTGGAGCGACTGAATGTGCCTGCAGTCGAACGGCACCCTGGTGGGGATGGGGAAGGTGGTTTCACTCCCAGCCGCTGCCACCCCGTGGGGTTTCCCAGCCTCGAAGCCAGCTCTACAGGAGGAAGCCAAAAGCCCCGGGGTGTTAGCAGGACCCTGGCATGGGCAGCTAGCAGGACGCACACTGTCCAGATCACAGAACAACAGCGCTGCGCCCACGGCACTGAGAGCATCCCACGCGCTGTCGCAGTCAGTCACCAGGCCCTCGCCATGCCGATACGGACCAGGTCACAGGCTGAGAGATGAGGGCACCTAAATCCTCAAGGCGCAGACTGGGTAAGGCATCCAAGGCCACCCAGGCAGCCAGTGGCAGAGCCGGGCTCCAGCCCTTCTGCTTGTTCCTCAAGACCTGGAGGAACAGAGTTTGCTGGGAGCCTGATCGTGTGCAACTCGGTGGAAAGGAAAGGGGTCTGTTTGCTTAAGCAGACACAGCCAGGCCAGGGCAAGAGGGAGAATCTCTCACCGCTGCAGAGCAATGGGAGAAGGCTCCTCTGCTGCCTTGGGCTTGTCCTTCCTGCTACTGGGGATCCCATTGGCTGTACTGGGAATGGCCCAGAGGAAGAGCCAGCAGTGCAGCCCCAGTTCCCAGGGAGGCTCAGCATGGCATGGCTCGGGGCTGCAGCCTCCCCGCAGCAGCAAGCGGACTTAGGAGGAATCGTGCAACCCCCCAGCCCGTTCCCAGCACCAGCCGAGCCTGACCTGGGGAACAAACAGCACACAGCCTCCGGGCCGGGGGTCCCGCTGGTGGGCGTCACACAGCACGCCCGGATCCTCAGCGCAGGGCGGCTGCCGTTGCTCTGCAAAGCGATGACAGCCAGGAAAGTCTCGGGGGAAGACAGCGGCGCCTGGGCCCCCAGGGCCGTTTCTGCAGCAGGACGCAGGCTCATCCGGGCAGTGTAGTTCCCAGAGCCGCAGGCGTCATCGGACACAACCGCAAAGCTGGAGGGGGAGAGGGAGGAACAGAGAGACTAGGACCCCTCCCAGGCTGCCCTGGTCAGAGCAAACAGCAAAGAGCCTGGCATGCAACCTCCCTAATCCTGTGGGGAGCCTCGGCCACTTTTAACTTTGCTCCGTGACCCACATCCCTGCAGTTACCCAAATGTCTCCTCTCGTCTCCTGAGCCAACAGCCCCTGGGGAGCACGGCGGTGGGGATGGGTCACGCTGCATCAGACACTGCTTTCTCCACTGGCTCACCCAAGCTGCTAGTCACCTGGGCTCACCCAGCGAGACATGGGACATAACACAGGAGGTCTGAAAAGCAACCTGAAATGCAGGCGCAACAGCTCAGGGGCTCAAGGGGGAAGGAAGGCAGGGACTACACACCCTGCAGCTTCCCCAAGTCAATGCCTTTGGTGTCAGACCCCGAGAGCATGAGGCATGAACACGTCAGAGCATCTCCCCGTGATAATTACCCATCCAGAAGAGCATCACCCAGCTGCCCTGCGCTACGCTGCCGTGCCTGGTTCTCCAGCACCACAGGCTCAGCTTCCAGCCACGTTGGAGCAGTCGCCAAGTCCCCAGCAGTGTCCTCAGTCATGTCACTTATTCTAGCCACCTGCTCTGCCTCTGTGTGCAAGGCAGGCCTCTCAAAGGACTCCAGGCCAGTGACATTCAGCAGACGACTCCTCTCTGAAGTGAAGACCATTGGGACTTCAGAGGGATCAGAAAGGCTCTCGGAGGTGGGGTGGAATTGGGACAGGTCTGTGGTTAGAAGAGTCTCCAAGCCATCTGACACCGCTGCATTTGAGATAGGAAACTGGCTCTCAGTCTTCTCGATGAGTTTGTCGGTGGTGGAAGCCAGTTGTGTTGCGACAGAAGCGCTGGTCCCAACTGTGGTAGCAGAAGCCGTGGACTGGGCGAGCCAAGTGCTGAGATCAAAACGGCCAGGCAGCTTCCCAGTCTCTTCCAAAGATGCCCTCTCTGGAAGGCGACTTGGCCGGCCGGATGGCAGCTCTAGCAACAGTGACACCGGGGCCTGAGCCAGCAGCTGGCCAGCTGTCACGCCACCCTCCGTGACGGGTCTGCCACGTGCCTCACCGGGGGATGGTGATGCCGTCGTAGCCTCATTGGAGGTGGTAACAGCAGGCAGCAAGTCAGACCTGCTGCTTGAAGTCACAGGGAGAGATGCTTTCCTGCTCGTTAGCAAAGCAGTCACCTGATCATTAATAACTGCAAATGGAGACCTTGATGAGGGAGGATGCACACTGCCTGATGCTAATTCACGGTCTTGTTGAAGGGTTGTTGGTCTTGCAGACAGGGGTGGCCGGGCTGACGCTGGAACAAGCTTAAGACCAGGGATGACTGCGGTTGACAGCTGTGTCTCAGGGCTGGGTACAGCTGGCAGAGAGATGGTGGTTCCCAAGAGCGCCTTGCTCCCTTCTCTTCTTGCACTGCTGATTACTACAACGCTCTCTGTGGGCTTGGCCTCTTCTCCTAAGTTTACTAGAGAGGACAAACCACCAGCTACCTCCAGGCTGGCGAGGCTGGATTTCAGGGTGGAGGAGCTAGGGACGCTTGTAGACGCATATAAAGACACCCCTGCAGAAGACCTGGACTGCCTCGGTGTCTGCGTACTGGTCCCAAGGGGCGTCCCAGAAACGGTTGCATTTGTTTGTCTCTCAGTGGAAAATGAAGCAGGCCCTGATGCTAAGTCTGGTTTCTCCGTCGTTCTGAATGGGTTGGGTGGGATGGGAAGAAATCCAGCGGGCTTGGAGAGGTCAGCCTTCGTGGAAGCTGCAGGTGTCGGCGTTGCTGCATGGCGTGCGGTGACCTCTTCTGACGGGGTATCATCGCCAGCTGCTAAATCTGTGCGGTTGCTTCCAGCAGACAGCGCTGAGGAGGCCAGCGCAGGGCTGGGTATGGATTCAGTTTGCGACGGAGGCTTTCCAAGTGACTCAGTGGACTGCAAAGGCGCGAGGCTGGTGCGCACCTCGGGCAGGAAGTTTGTGCTCCCCACCGAGGACGCCAAATGTTGCTTATCAAGGGCGGACGCGGTCACTGAGCCGAGATGAGGGTGTCTGCTTTGCAGCGTTAGCTTTGAAATGAACTGAAGCCACCCCGTAACCCTGGATTCGGTATGGGGAGCGGATGTTGGAGATGGAAAACCAGAGAATCCCTTTGCCGGCAGCAGAGAGATAATGGTGGGAGTGTTCAGATTTGCAGCTACAGGCAGTGTTTCTGTGGACATTTGGGAGCTGTGCAGGGTGGGCAGACTCAGTGCTGGAGGGGCCACACTAAGGTGTTCTGCAAATGCTCCCCTTGGTACAAGTGAGCTGGTCTCATTCTCCTCTGGGGCCGGGGCAGCAGGTAGCGCGGCCCCTTCGGGCTGGTTCTCAGGCCGGGATGGCAGTGCTGTCATGCCGAGCTCCTCCAGTGGATACGGCACGTGGTTGGACGTGGAGGTTTGGGATCCAAACAGGCTAATGGCTCTTGTTGAAGTTGAGAAAGCAGTAAGCGCTGGTAGAGAAGCAGCTTGCCTCTGCAGCTGGTCGGGAGCAGGGGAGAGGGCAGCTGCAGCTCCAGGAGCCTCACTCGTGGAGGACGAGGAACTGACTTTCTTCAGGATCCCGTGGCCGCTTGAGGGAGTAGCCGGTCCCTGGTCTTGCTGGCTGGGGGGGGGAAAAAAAGTGTATGAGCGGGTCCCTGGTCTTGCTGGCGGGCGAAGGAAAAAGCAGTCGCCAGCCTGTCTTCTTCAGCAGAAGCAGGTAGGATGGACAGCGCTGGCTTATCCGCAGGCAGAAGGACAAACAGAGGCTTCACCAAAATGATGCTGGAAGGACTCAGCTGTTTTAAACTGGCGGGGTCTAACGCGGAAGAGAGCAGCGCAGCGGATGACGGCAGGACTTCCTGGAGGGTGGCACTGAGGTCTGCTGTCAATGGAGGGGCGTTCGGCATGGGGTGCAAGCACAGCGCGTCATCCGCGCTCCTGACCAGGAAAGTCAGATACTGAGCTGACGCGGGGAGCAGCAGGTGCTCGGCAAGGAAAGCACTCAGGTTCCTGGTGCTGGTGACACTGGAGTTATTGAGCAGCCCCTGCGCCAGGGGCTTCGCGGTCTCATCAGGATCTCTGAGCAGCGCGAGCCCAGGGGCTGTGGAAGCAGACAGAAGGGGTGCGGGAAGCCCCACGTGAGCTGGAGCAGCAGTGCCCAGCGGCCGAGGGGAATCAGCGCTAATCGGAGGTGGGGACCCCACGGGTACAAGGGTGGCTGAGCTCAGCTGCCCCTGGTGCGGGGATGCAGGTGACGTCCCCGCTCGTCCCGCGGCGACTGGCTGAGATAGCAGCGCACGGGCCTGTGGCTGGGTTAATGGAGATGGTCGACCAGCTGCAACCTCACTGCTCTCGGGAGACCTGGCTGGTTCAGGGCCACGGGCACTTGTCTGACTGCCGATGCCACGTGGCAGAGCCAAGGTTGGGCGCTGTACCTGGCCCTTTCTGCCTGCCGTGGAAAGGCCTAATTCACCAAGAGGGACAGGCCGGGTCACCGAAGTCAGCCGGGGCTCATTGGTCCTGCTCCGGAGCTTGTGCAAGGACTGCGATGAGGCCTGTGGAGCTGGCACTTCTGGGGGACCTGGGATGAAAGAAGGGGGAGCATCCCCCGGCGGGGGTGCCAGAAGTGCAGACAAGCCGTCAGGGCTCCCCGGGGTGCTCAGCTCAGATGTGGCGGGCAGGGTGGTCTGACTCTCGGTCGTTGCTCTCTTTGGAGGGGAAAGCCCCACAGGCGCCAGCTGCTTCGCCCTGGAAACCATCGCAGCAAGTCCTCCAGACACTGGCTTTTGCAAGAAGGCCACAGGCGTGACCCTGGCACCCAGACCTGGAGTCTCCTTTGGGGCCACTAAGGTCACACTAGCCAGGTCAAGCCGGACCTGTGGACTACTCTCCCCCAGCCTGTCGCTAGAAGGGCCCAGTGCGGGGAAACGATCCCCTCCCAGCCCTGCAGGAGCCTGCGTGGCATTGACAGCAGGCCCTGACGGCTCCTTTGGGCTTTGGACAAGCACGTGGGACTCGACAGCTCGAGTCACAGGGGAAGCCCTGGCACTCGACACTGCTGTCTCCTGGATCCCCTCCGGGGGCACGGAGCCTGCAAAGGCAGAACGGAGGGGCTGAGATGCCCGAGGTCCACTGGGGCGGGACTGCACCATGCTTGCGTTTGCCGTGCCGGGCCTGGACGCAGGAACGTGTTCCCCTCTTGCTGCTTTCCCTAGAAGTGGCTCATTTGGATCCTGCACAACCCAGGACTCTGTTTTCTGCCTTAGGACAGGACTGCTCACGCTGGTGAAAAAGCCAGGGGTCTGGGCATTTAACATGGCTCCTTCCGACTGTTCAGACCCATCCGAGTTTCTACTTGACTCTTCCAGGAGCTGGTCTGTGCCTTTCTCAGCCATCTCTGCACGCGCAGCACTGAAGCTGGCTGCGGCTCCACGGGCAGGGTCAGCTGCGAGAGTCTGAAATGGAAAGGTCACCTCTGCGGGGTCGTCTTCTGCAACGGAAAACACTGCACTGGTCACTGGGCTGCTCTGAGCTCTCGCTTGGAGTCCTCCAAGAAAGCTCTGGCCTAATCGCTCACTGACCTGGTGTTCATTTCTGGAGGCACCTAATAAACAGAAAAAGCCCTGTTTCTTTTCTAGTAAAGGCACGTTCAAGAGCTCGCAGGGGTGGCTCGCCATGGGCAGCGACAGACTCAGAAAGGGAAGCAAGCAACTCCGGGAAGGACAGGCAGGTACGGCCTGATGCCAATCCTTCTGCTGGCTGCTACCACTGCTGCATTAAGCACCAGCCTCCACCACCTACCCTCCAGTCATCTAGCAGGGCCGTGCAACATGGGTGTGAAATAGTCCCGCTCACCCTTTGGCACCAAAGGAGTAAGACATAAGGAGGTTGATTCCACCCTTGACTTAGCTGCCCAGACCAAGTGTTTTTCGGCAAGGAGGTCCCCAGTTTGCAAGATGAGAGGCACTGAGTACTGGTGCCCAAGCAATAGGTGCATCTAAAACATACCTCCCCCTCTTAAGAACTGACATGGATTAAAAACCATCTTCCTAAAGGGCGAGTTCCCTGTTCTTGTATCAGGTCTAGATTCACCAGCGTCCTCTGGTTGCTCACTCCCAAGCTACACACCTATAATTCATGGCTCAGGACAGATTAAAACAGGGTGAAAGCTGTTTGGTGTTGCTGGAGGGGCACGGAGCAGGCTGGGCACGCTGGTCCCTCTGGGACCCAAGAATAGACACTTCATTGTGTCGGGAGGAGCCCTGGGGTTGAAAGAGCCTTTGTTTTCTGACCACGTTTTCTCTTCTCGCCCACCTCACACTCTGAAGTGAACACTACCAATTGCAATTTCCAAGCCAGTGACTAAATGTGAAACTTGGCTGGAAGGAAAACACATTAAGCCTTTTACTGTAGGCTCCTGGCAGCAAACGCAGGTGAGTAAAGCTAAAAGGTGTTTCGGCACCAGCTAAACTCCGGCTTCCAACAAAAGGCAAGGCAGGGGTCAGGCAGCAACATTTTCAAGTCGGTCCTCTCTGCCCTGCTTTGTTTCAAGACAAAAAGCAAAGCTGGCACTTGAGGTCAAACCCATTCTGATTATGCTTTGGGACGAGGCGAGACTTCACCTCTCAGCAGTGACTTTGGTGAATAGATATTGCAGCTGTCCGCCGCAGGGAGTTTAAGGGAATGCAACAGGGAGGGATTTAAGAAGATGCTGCAGTCTTGTATCAGATCAAATCAAACACGGGGGCCGGCATGCATTTTGGGCTGTGGCCGTGCAATATGGGGACACCCCCTTCGCCTTTCAGCTCCAGCGGATGAAGGCATTGACGCATGCACTTTGCTTTCAGCCTGTGCAGTTGGGTTTCAAGGGGACTTCGGCACGTGGCAAAAGTCAAACTTTGCTCAGT